TGTACATCATTATAAGTGCATATTCTAGCTCGGGTTCCAAACCTGGAATCTAATGTGCCTTCTATTATTAAAAAATAAAGTTTAAAAAAATAAATACAGACAAATTTGCCTGTATTACAATTTAAGAGATAATATTATAATTACTCACCAATTACTATATTTGTAAATTTCTATTTAAATTCTCTGATTAACTTGATACCATTAAATATTTTCTTTAAAAAGGAACTGTTGTAAAAGCCTCTTAAAACTTTAAAGTAAATATATACTTTTATATAAGGAGTCCTTATTCTTGCAGTAAACCTACTAAAGCAGTTTATATTCTATATATATTATCTAGGTGTTTAATAACTTATACTAAGTTTGAAGACAAGTATTTGCAGCTTTTTACCTCTGTTATTATTATCTACTTCATACTATTGCAGAGTTTATCTAACCTCAATATATATTTTATAAACTATTAACAGTACTTTGATGCTAACTAATAGTGTTTTAAACTTCTAAAACAAATAGTCTAAAAGGAACTGATGAGTATCTTTTGATATTTTGAATGAATTCTTTTTCTTTTGGTTTTTATCTGATAACCTGGTTGATGTAATGCTTTGTTAAATACTTAGTTTTAGTTCAGTTTATTACTAATATCTGGTTTTTCAGATAATAATTCTTTATATAATATCATCAAAGATTTGTATTACCTTTTTATTCAAGTTTTTTTTAAGTAGGCTTTTATATTTCCTGATCTCTTAGATTTATTTGGCTGCTTTATTTGGATTTTATATAACTTATGCATTATACTAAATATATTTAAACTTCAAATTTAATTAAAATCAAACTAATTTTATTTAAACCCAAATAATATAAAAATTTAAAACCTTGCTTTAAAACATTGTTCAGATCTAAAAGCTAGTATAATTATATAATACTATATAGTTAAAACTATTAGTTTTTATTTTAAAAAAATTAAATATAATCAAATATATCTTTGAAGATTAAAAAAAAAATATACTGTATAATCAAATATATAATTATTAAAAAAAGTTATAATTATATAAAAATTAAATTTATATATTTTATAAAAATTAAAATCGTATAATAAAATTTAATTATAATACAATACAATAATAACCTAAACCACCTAAATAGCTTAGATACTGTTACTGTATTTTAAACAATCCAAATTAATGTATAGATTAGAGTAAAATATGCTTTACTCTATATAGCTATAGGACACTATACTCTCAAAAAGGTTGTTATTTATTATATAGCATAAAATGATTCTAAATAGCGCATTTGAATAATAGAAGGCACATTAAATTCCAGGTTTGGAACCCGAGCTAGAATATGCACTTATAATGATGTACATTTATAAAGAAATTTGACTGTATTAAGTTTTTGTTTAATAATTAGCAAAAAATAAACCAAGTAAAACATGCTCACCTATCCCACAATAGAATTTAAGACATTTTTTATTTTGAACCTTAAAATTTAAATTCAAGTTTCAGTTATCATTTTCTATTGATCGATAAACATGAAACATTTCGTGTAGCCGGCAATGCCTTCCCTGCCAATGTTTCATATCAAAGATGTACTACATAAGCCTTTAAAAAAAGTATTGTCGTTATAAACCGTATAAAACAATTGTAACCATTTTCTAACCGTTTCCTAATGTGGGACGCACCCCTTTCGGTAATTAATAATTCCTTCATATTTGCATAATGCAAACAAATCTGGTTGCAACTATTTATTTAAAAAAATTAATCGAATTTACTATGTACAATTTAGAATAAAACGCGACAAGAACGAATACTCTTTGAAGAGGAGTATACGTATTAACACTTTAAAATATTTATAGGCTTGACTCAGCAGGAGAAGGGTGTTGTTGCTGTTGGGTTTGGAGATCCTCCAATTTCATGTATGCGCTCAGAACACTGTCAACAAAGTATAAATCACGGCACGATCGTGCCTAATAATAAATAGTTTTAATTATTTATCTTAATAAATTAATAAAAACAAGTTATACTTACAAAATCACGTTCGATTGGCGTAAGTACATTTGATTCATCTAATTTATCCTGATCATTGTTTGTAACGCCATTAACACTCCCATGATTATTATTTGATTCACCTTCATCCGTCATTCGATTTCGTTTATTTAGAACGGGTTTATGTTTCTTGCTATTCCGCGATCGTTTGCTACCGTTGGTAGAAACAACACCTGATTCATCACCTTTCAAAGATTGTTCATATTCCTGCAAATCTTTCTTTTTGGCAACGGATTTAGTGGAACTGCTGTCTGCTTTTGAAGATTGATTAACTCTTCGATGCGGTTTCTTTTTAACAGGGGAACTTTCAGTTTCGTAATCTTCCAGAAATTTGTCAGTCACTTTACGAGATTTCCTTTTTCTAGTTGAAGCAATCTTTTCAACACTATTTTTAGAACTATTAGCAGATTTCAAAGATTCTTGGCGGAATTTCTTCTTCTCTATATGAACCTTTGTAGGGAGACTATCGGATTCGTAGTTAGATAAGTCACTGTCATGTAGAGGTTTAACGTTGACATCAGTCATTGTAGATTGACTGTCTGAATTAACTTGTGTGGCCTTAGATTTGCGGCTCCTCTTCTTTCTGGATTTTTCCAACTTCTCTTTTGCAGTTTCTTCATCACTGCGACGAGCTTGTGGCCAGTATGGTTGCATGTAGACCTTCTTTGGTAATTTGGACTTTAAATCGTAAGACCCCTTTTAAAGCAATAATTCAATAATAATTATACAAAGATAATGACAAAATGTACATAAAAAAAAAAAAAAAAAAAAAAAAAAAAAAAAAAAATACCAA